TCAATGAATTTATTTTTAAAAAAATTTTTTTTAAACGCCCAATCGTATAAAATATTTTAATTTTAAGTTGAATTTAACACTAAAATTTATTTTTATTTCATATTTAATCTAATATTAATTTTATAAGATGTTCAACATCATATCATGTGTTACTTAATAACTAAATAATATCAAATTAGATCACATAAAATTCATTGAATTCTTTAGTTAAAATTTTCAAAAATTTCAAATGTATAGTATTCACTCTTAGAAGACTATAGATACATATTTCGTTCAAAAATAAAATTGATTTAAAAATTATGAATTATTTTCATGATGTGCAATCATTCCTAAATAAATAATGTAAATTTTATTATAAATAGAAAAAGAATTCAAATTTATAACATAATTATTTCTCAAAATTAAATTATTTTTATATACTTACCTACACTTCCCAATACAATAATAATATGTACATAAAAATATAATTTCTAATAAAAAGGTTGAAATTTAATTGATAAGATCTTGAGGAAGAAACTTTTTTCAAAAAACCTGTTTGCTTTTCCTCCATCTTCCTTTGGTCAAAGCACCGATTATGTAATTTTTTTTTTGCAAACTATTAAAGTATAACCATTATAAATAATTTTCTCTTACTTTAAGAAATCATATAGAAATCAAATACAACAGCATTATGGACGCGTTAAATGCTAATGACCAACATTTTTGAAGACCTACAGTAATAATTAAGCTTTTTAAACTAAAAATATCTATATACCAAGCTTTTGCTGTATCCACATATTATATACATATGCTTATATGCACTAAATATCAAAAGTTAAAACCAAATCAAGGAAATATAATGGAATATCAATTGAATTTTAAACTGATAATTCTTTAAAGACAAGATAAGCTTTACTTATAAGAATTTAGTAATAATTTTTACTTAAAAATAGAATATTCCTAAAAAAAAATTTTAAATTAAATTTGTATTTTATTAATAGAAAAAAATACAATGAACACATGTCTTTTCCTGAACAAAGTAAAAATAAAATATATTCGAAAAAATAATAAAGATTTCCACAGAAATATTTAAAATCCAAGAATATTTTTATTTTCGAAAATATAGGAACAAAATTCTTACATAACATACTTGAATTGTGACCGAATTTCTATGTATAATTTAATAAAACTTTCCATTATACTTACCTTTCATATTATTATTTGAAATTAAAAATAATTTCACTTTGCAAAAATTTTCTTCAAAAACATCTTCAACAATATTTTTTTCAAAAAATATTCTCAGTTCGTTCTAAGGATGAACCAAAATTCAGTTAATTGAATTTCGAAAAATAGAAAACAAAAGAGAAAATTGTACAATTGCGTTATTATTAAAAATTTCTGATCCTGTAGGGATCAGTTTTATTGTAGTTAAAAATTTCCTTTTTGCAAAAGAATATGAAGAAAATTGTTTTGAAATTAAAATTTTATAGAAGAAAATATTGTCATTATTTTATTCATAAACATTTTAATTTAATTAAATCATAAGAAAATAGTAAAATACTTGAAATTTAAAAAAAAATTAGGTCGTTAAAAATTTTCACTTAAAATTTCTTTTTGATTTTAAGTGAAAGTAAATTAAAATATGGTAAATAAATTAAAAATTTTAAAAGAAAATAGAAAAATTTCTTAAGTTCTCAAAATATCTTGGAGTTTAAATACAATTCTTTTCATTTAATATTTAATTGCATTTCTAAATAATATAATAAGGTGAATTGCACTTTAACCGACCACATAATTGCAAACAACAGGACAAGTATTGTAATGGTACCAAATTTTTTTATGTCAGCTTTTCAAAAGTATTTCCCCAAAATTGATAAACGTAAATCAATTATTTTTAGCTAAATATCGGTCAGTGTTTACTATTTTAGTTAATAGTAGCTATTGGAATCTGCGATAAACAACTTATACTTTGCAATGGGCCAATTTTAAATTGTTCCGTAGTAGGTTTCCTGTAACAAAAAGATTTATTTGATATTTTCGTATTTTGAAATTTTCAGAAGAATCCAATGCTAGTAATTGAACTGCTTCTCAGGGCTACATAAGGATTGAATATAAGGTATATTTATTATGAATTTCGCCTTTCCTTATTAAAGCAATAAGCTTGCAAATATGTTAGAAATATCAGTGCTCGAAATACAAATGTTCCCTAAAACAAAAATTTTACAGTTTTTAACATATCTAAGTAAATAGTAATCGGAAATTTCTTAAAAATTAACATATACGATCTATTTGTTCAAGATAAAAATAATAAATTTTCCAAAAAACCCTACAAAATGATTCCAATAAACTATTGAGAACCGATCAATTAGAATTTCGGAATACTAAGCAAAAAATTGTAGAATCTCATATGTCTTTTTATCTGCTATTTCTACCATTTTATATTTCTAATATTTCTATATTTTTACTTAATATTGGACTCACCAAAAAATGTTGCCCTAACTAGCCAAAGTATTGTTTGAAAATTTGGTAATAAGACAATTAAAAAAAATAAGTGTCCAATTAATTTGATTCTTGAATAATAATAGCAAAAATTCTAAAAATAATCAGTTTAAGCTAAGAATTCTAAAATTAAAAACAATTTTTAATTTACACTAAAAAAAATTTTTAATTTTGTTTTGTAAAATCCTTCAAATTTTTCAGATACTATTGTACCTAGTATTTTCTTCTATATGAAAAAATTTACTCTAGATATAAAATTTTAATCAACGTTTTATTGTTGAAATAAACAAATGTAAACGAATTTATATGGTGCTTGTCTAGTAATATTGCTATTGATCCAAATAAATTCACATGTTGTTATGTTTTAAGAGCATACCTAAATTATGTCATATATAGGCACATATTATTAAAATAATTGTATCTAAATACCTATACCAACAGATTCATATTATTATTATGAGGGTTTCATTCATGTACATCTACATTATTTCTATAATTATAAAAAAAAAACTGATTAGAACTTCATTTATAATCAATTTTATTCAAATTTTGTTCAAATATTATATTTACTCACAGTAGGTACACATACATTCATCTATATTTGAAATAAATTTTTTGTTATAATAATGTATATCGGTTTGTATTATTATTATAATTATAAAATGAAGGAATTAAATGAGGTCAGTCAGCATATTTGCGCAATAATTTTGTATACCACAATAAGAGATAACTTAAAAAAAATAAAAACAAAATTATAAAGGATTCTTTTTAACCGAAAAAATTTTCCAATTTTATCTCTACATTATTATTAATATATAGAATATTTTCGTACAAAATATAAAATTTGAAAAATAAACACACAATCTCATAACAATTACAGTATATACTTACATTAATGTATACATGTAGACTAATTCCATTACATAACTGTAACAATAAATTAAATTTTGTCGACACATTTAATTACAATACAGACACACACAAATACCATATAAATAGTGTGGAATGTATAAAAAAAAAAAAATTTACGCCTATAAATATGCATATGACTTTCAGTTTGTTTTTTTTTCCAATTTTTTTCTCTCCATTATTTTTGTTTTGAAGTACCTAGTGTTCTAATTTTTTAACTTAATCAATTTGATTTTCTCTTCAATACGGCATACATACATACATACACAATATGCTGATAAATATAAAATATACACATGCACGGATACAACTGATTATTATTCAACTCCTTCCAGAACATTAAGTAACATATCCTTTTTACCATTCTCAATTACAGAAAAAAAAATACAAAAAACGAAGAAAAAAATAAAATTATTATTGTATTCTTGAATGTATATACAATAGTATGTGTGTAAGTTTGTATTTATGTTGAGTATAAAATAAAATTCCTACAATTTCCTACATATATTCCATTTAATAATAATTTTTGAGCCTAAAAATTACAATTTTATTTACTTTATTTCCCATTTTTAAGTATGTCATGTGTTCTGCCTTATTTATCCTGAAAATATTTTATATAATAATAATATTACACACACATACATATGTATCATATTGAATATTTTAGAAAAAAACCAAACAAAATATTAAAAAATATTTGCAATTAAATTTCCTTATTTCGATATTAGAACAATAATATTATAATAAACCGTTCATATAACAACTCCCACATATTACTGTACACAGTGGGAGGAAAATAATGTATAAAGAACGAAAACAGTCGGAAATTTATTTTTCAGTATTAAAAGCAGATTTACTGTCGATTAGAGAGAGGAATCCAATTTAGTTTAGAAATTTTCTAACTACAATATTATAGTTAGGCATAAAACACTGTTGAAATTAGATTTTATAAACCCGCGGCTTTCGACATCAAGAATTTAATAAAAATTCTTTTTCCATGATCTTTTTATTCATGTATTTTGTATAACACTTTCACTGTTGTTCTTTTCTGTTTCAATTGTGAAGAGGATTTGTAAGAAGGGTGAAGAGGAATGAAGAACCCACATTCCATGAGGGTGCCCAATAGTTAAATGCTTTAGAATATTCCAAAAGAGGTGTGAGATGAAAATTTCAAAATTCTGTTACATTTCTTTTACTAAAAAATATTTTAATTTTTTTTTCTAAATTCGGACTTTTCAGATTTTTGCTGTCTAAAGAAAACGCAAAGTACTTTCCTACTAAAATTCAAAAATTAATGTCAATTATAAGAATAATTTAAAGAAAAATAGACCATGTTCAACCAAATATAATAATTATATTTTAACTATTAACTTTCAAACTTCATTTATTTTGTGACACCTAAAATAAACATAATTATGCACAACTATACAAAGAACTGAGAGTAAGTACGAATAACTGAGAAAAATTCCAATAAAATAGGAAAATTTTCTAAGTATTACAAACATCGACGCCATGAACGAAACATTAGCATACATATGGACAAACACAATACATATAAACCAAAACAAAAAAAAACAAATCGGAAGCTACATTTTTTGATTGTACACACACAGGATAGTGACGAAAATAACGATGACGATGATAATTGTGACAAGCTATGAAGGATACAAAGGAAAACAAAAAAGAAACAAACTTAAAATATCGGAAAATTTATTTTCTCCTTCCGATTAACGCCTTAAAAAATTTAGTTTTTTTTTTTTCTTAATCAGATACAAAATAATATTTGCTTAGGAATTTAAGTTCTACTATAAAATAGACAGTACACTGTAGCAAATATGGTTAAAACAAGTAAAAACGTTTCAGTCGGTATAAACCGATTGATTTATACCCTGCACCTTTCGTTGTTGTATAGCAATTACTCAAACCTGTGAAACCATTCTATAGAAATTTCACGGATATGTCTGATTTATAACTGGACACACAACTGCCAAGTTTCATGAATCTGACTTTATTTTTCCAAATATTTAAACTTTTGGACTTCTATGGGAGCTACTCGTAGCTGTAGAGCAATTCAATGTCATGAATCTGACTTTATTATTTTTCCAAATATTTAAAATAAGCTTTTGGAGTTGTATGGCAAGTACCTGAACCTGTCAAGCAATTCCATCAAAACTTCAGAAATATGTCTGGCCTATAACTCGACACACAACTGTCAAGTTTCATGTATCTGACTTTATTATTTTTCCAAATATTTAAAATAAGCTTTTAGACTTGTATGGGAGCTACTCGAACCTGTCAAGCAATTCCACCAAAACTTCAGAAATATATTTGACCTGTAATTGGACACATGACTGCCAAGTTTCATGAATCTGACTTTATTATTTTTCCTAATATAAAAAATTTGCTGTTGGAGTTGTATGGCACCCACCCGAATCGGTGCAGCTAACCCATTATAATTTTTAGAGCATGTGTAGAATATAATTGGACACAGGTATACAAAATTTTATATTTATAGCTTTATTAGTTTTTGAAATATTTAAAATAAACTCTTTGAGTTGTATGGCAGCTACCCGAGCCCGTTGTCCGAATTAGTCCAATAACAATAGGGCTCGTCCTTGGCACAAAAGAAAAAACTTGTGAAAGTTTGGTGCCGATTGCATTATTCGTTTTTGAGTTATCGTGCGATCGGACGGACGGACGGACGGACGGACAGACGGACATGTCTAAATCGACTCAGAATTTTACGCTGAGCAAGAATATATATATATGTCCATACCGCAGATGACTCCTTCAAGTAGTTACAAACTCCATACCAAAGTTAATATACCCTTCACGAAGTGCAGGGTATAAAAATAAATGTGAAACTAGAAAAATAATTTTTAATAGTACAAAGCATGTATGTAAGTATGTACATTTCTTTCACTCATGCATTCAGTAAATGGGCCTATCTTTACTCACTTATACAAATTTTAAATGTTATGCGAGGAATTCTAAAATATTGCAAGGAGATCAATGACTAAAACTTATATAATTACAACCAATTTTTAATGAAATGGAAGCCCTGTTTGTTTAGCAATTAACTTTCACGAAATTTTAATGTCTATTGTTACCATTTACAGTTTCCGAGGTTTGACTAAATTATATATAGAGTTGCATTGTAGCTGCATGAAATGCAAGCCCTGTTATGCTATTCATTTTCACGAAATTTTAATGTTTACTGTTAATTTTAAAGTTTGAGGTTTGACTAAATTAAATATAAAGCTGCATTGTAGCTACTCAAACCGTTGCTTTAATTGAAATAGAATGAAGTAAGGTACTTATGGTAACTACTTTTAATTAATTGTGAAGTCTTGGTCAGTTTTTGAATTATGGCTAAAACAGACAAACGGGCGGTCAGAAGTAACTCAATTGACGGGCAAGCATAGATATTTATAGAATCTAAATTATAAGATTTCTGTCGTAACTACTATGAACTTTTGTCGTACTTTCTATGAACTGATGAAAAACATATCCTGGTTTCTATATCTCAAACGTACGTTTGTGAGCACTCGTACGAGTACGTAGAAATTATATTTGATATTTTTCACAAGTTTACATTTAATATCCAATAGAACTAAAAGTTAAAAATCGTCTATATTTAAAGGATTTTATTAAAAACTCTCTCTTAAAAACGAATTCATCTATTCACTTTCATTTTAACCTAAGTGCTTATAATAAACGTAAGCCGCTTGATAATACGAAATTTTTAAATAAATTACTTAAAATCTACTGCATAATCATAATTATTATCGTATATATTTTCTAATAAAATTTGAAACTATAACAGTTATAATATTTATAATAAAGGTTTGTGATATCGAAAATTATCCTTTTTTATGGCATCCTCTTGCTTATGGTTTTATACTTTGCAATACAATGAAATTAGTTTAATTTCTATTTTAAAGACATTGTAAAACAGAACCATATTAAATTTTAAAAGATTAGAATAAAAATATTTAGCTATTTAATATTTTATACTTTGGTTCAACGCATTTAGCGATATAATTTCATTATTATCTAATTAGCGATTTAGTGAGTTTATATTCGGCGTATAGAAGCTCTACATCTTTAGTATTTTAGAAAAATATAATGGTAATTACTAATGAAAATGTAAACTTGTGGCAGGAAATGTGTTAGAAAATTTTATAAATTCCTCCTCTATTTTTTTAATAATTTTTAAAAACAAATTGTACCATGTCCTTAAAGATACAATAAATCGCAAGTTTTCATAAGTCATAAACAAAATATGAAAAGTTGAGAGCACAAGAATTGTTTTAATAGCAGAATTAGATCGCTTACTCTCTCTAGCATTGTTAAAACTAATTTTTGACAGAATTTGGGAAGGTCTTTTGGTCTAACTGGATGAGGTCTGAGCTTTATTTTACTTTCATTCCGTAGTGTGGGCTACAGTACAGTATCGTTTTAATGTCGCTGTCTTGTAAAAGCAGTAGTAGCGAATGAGTGATGAAGTTTTGGTAGTTATTTTAAATGAGCGTTTTTAATTTTTTGATTTTTGGCCCATCGCCATAGTCGTCATTGAATACCAGGTCTTCTATTCTGTGACCATAAAAGCAGCTTCATAACATTACCAAAACAAGAATTTGTTAGAATTGTTATTTATAAATTTTTTTGTTATTAATTCCTCAAATTATTATTAATTAAGAAATTCCTTGGACGATGCAAATATTTTCTTTAAAAAATTTCGAATATACTGTTCCACTTTCCCTTGAATAAATCTAATACATATAGTAAATAAAATTCGCTCCATAGGATTTTCATCCTAAACATATTAAATTAAATATACGAGTAAGTTTTAAGTTTAATGTTAAAAAAAATTTCGATGAAAATAAAAGTAAAATTTAATGATATTTAAAATGATAAAAGAACATTAGTTTAACATAAAGTATAATGAAATTATCTTTTAAGAGGAGTTTCTGTAATATTTCTATAGAGATACAAAAATTATTTTTATGAACTATAACACAAGATTTAATTTTTATAGTCTAAATTAAAAATTTAAATATTACATTTTATCTCATGCATGAAATTTTTGTCAAATTTTGTAATATATTGAAGTGTGTACCAAGATATTTTCATAAAAGAAAGATTTTTATGAAAATATCCTGGAATATTTTCGAAAATTACTCGGCATATCAAAATGCAACAACATTTATTATGTAGATGTTGTATATTTAGAGAATTTGTTGGTATAACAAATTTAATTTACATGTATACAACCATTATTATTGGCTATTATGAAAATTAATAACTCGTGGGTCTCTTAAATCAAAATTAAATTTCATTTTTAAGGATCACTTTAATAATCTCTATAATAATTTAGAATTAAATTTATTGTTACTTTATTGTTACTTTTGGAAAAATATTTTAATTTTGTATAAAATAAATTGAGAAAGAAAAAGTTATAATAATTGTGTAAGTTAATTTGTCCTTCCCTCAGTGGCTTACCATACTGAAATTTTGAACTGATTGTTGCAAAAAAATAATATGAAATTCACAAGTGAAAAGATTTCGACATTCCAAATAAATAGCATTTGATGATTTTTAAATATTCTAAATTATTCTGATAATATTTTTATTCTATAGGCAGTGAAGAGTTCTTATTCAAATATGAGATAGCCTCAACATCAATACAATAAATTTGAAAATTTGTGTACAAGAATAACGTCTTATAATTTGTGTAGAAGACGCCAGAATATTTTTCCTGAATCTCTTTTAGTCATATAATTTTCTTCTTACTCATAATATTCAATTTTTTATTGGTGATTAATTATAATTTCTTTGTACTTTTCTTCCAGATCACTTTCCTGATTAAGTTAAGTTGCACATTCAGACTTTGTATACAAGCACTACGTTAATATTCCACTTCAGATTTATTTAAAATTTCCTTACAGACTTCTTCTATTCTGCTCTTTAGAACAGCATTTAAACTGATCTAGTTTGATGAAAGCGAAATTGTATTACGAATGCAAGTAAAGGATAAAATCATTAACACAACTACAATAATATTATTAATAAGCGAATTAAACGAATTTTGAACAATTTGTTATCAGTCTGAAGGTGTGTGACATAAAAACTTGACCATATAAACTTGACCATATTGAACAACAATATTATAATCTAGTTTGGTATTTCGTATAAGAGAAAAATTAAAAGAATTATAGTAATATTATTCATAGCCACAAATTTATATCAAATTCCATTTCAAAATTATATTTAAATTCTTTATCCTGAATAAAGTAAAATATTCTATTATATTGAAATTTTCTCTATTTATTTAAGTGTATATAATATTTTCAAATATTTTAAGAACAAATGCATTGCGGTATCCTTATATTATTACTATTATTACTATTACTATTATACTCGTACATTACAAAATTTCCAATTAAATTAATAAAAATTATTCACAGTTAATTATTATCCTTTTTGTAAAATCAATAGTATATACACATTGATTTCTTCTTTGTGGTATAGATCTCATGCAAAGAATTGTTGGTTTTTCATATACGATTGAAATTCTTTATATCTTTTTATATTTTTGCATATCCACAATCTGAATATTTAGCTTTATAGTTAAATTCTCGAGAAACACTTTGTATTA